ATAAAGTGTTTGTAAATAGGGAAGGGTAGAGGGCGTGAAGGGAGGGCTAGGGATGGGGAAAAAATAAGAACCAAGATGCATCATGTAAAGGTACAATCCCCAATGAGAAATGTAATTGTGTTGTATACCTACAATGTACCAATAAAAGAATTTAATACAAAAGTAAATAAGTAAATAAAAAGTAAGTACATCAAAAGGTCTATCAATAGTGAATTGAGTAAAAGCTATCATATATTTTACAAATACATATATGAGGAATATGTATATCACAAATACATAGAATAAATGCATTTTTACAAGGTTAGCATTTGAGGAAGACCATAGAGCAGAAGCAATAAGGACAAAAGCTACACTTCTCAAAATGTGCACCGAGCGACTTTCAATTTTGAATTGAAAGCAATTCCTCATGAAAGGAAAATTAAATGAGACTAACAGCATATTGAGTTAGTGGCATAGCACACAGTATGAGGATATCAGTTATGGAGGCATTGCCTATAAGCACAGTCCTCTAGAAGGCTGAGGCGGAATGACCATGAGATCAAGGATAGTCTGAGAAACCTAGCTACTTATCGAGAACCTGTCTCACAAAACAAACCTTTACAAATGGAGAGGAAAGAGCCAAGCTCAGAGGTTCTGAATTCAAAATCCAGAATTTTTTTTTAAGTGCTAGGAAGGCCAAGGATTTAGCTCAGTGGCACCGCACCTGCCTTGCAAGGTACAGAGTTCAATCCCCAGTACCAAAAAAAACCCAACTCTTAAGGGAGAGTGGGTCAGGTAGAGCTCTGTGTGTACCTTTGCCTCACCTTTCTTCAGGACAACAGGCCCCAAGTGGCTTCAACCCGCATAACTTTCTTGGGTAATTTTAGTCTGATACACAGTAAAAGATATTGTGGGTTAGTAGGGTGGTAGGTATATAACTAGCCGGATTATGTCTACAATAGAGCCATAGAATAATACAGCACATTGTACCCTATAAATATGCACAATTATTGTCAATTGCCACATAAGGATATTGTACACCTGCAATCCCAGAGCTTTGGGAGGCTGAAGGAGGATCACAAATTTAAGCCCAGCCAGGCCCAATTAGTGAATTAGTTAGACCGTGCCTCAAAAAAAAGCAAAACAAAATATAAAATGATGGGAGAATATAACTCAATGAGCGGTGTCTGCTTCAAATGGTAGTATAAAAAAATTAGGACCAAAAACTGATCAAATCTACATACTAAGATATCCAGATCCTAAGAGGATATATTTAGCAGCATATTTGCAGCCATCTCATTTAAAAGGTTAAAAATAAACATCTGCACCAATGTAAATACCTGACAGTACTCCAGTGTCTACGTGATGATAAATGTCATGCAAGGTGTGTTGAATAAGGCACACATGCAAGAGCAGCAGCAAAGGCTTTGGGTTGGTGAAATGATAGGTGATTCTAATCTTTTTCTTTTTAATTTTTCTCCACTGCAAAAATATTGAATGTATGTAATATAAATAGCCTGTTTTCAGGTCAATTATACAAAATCAAATCAGAAAATACTGAAAATTCGAAGACACTGTTTCACAATCCTCACCAAAAACAACAACAAAAAAGAAACACAATGACAAAAAAACCCTCAAGTTCTGCATAAAACAACTGCTTCAAACCACACCTTAACAATTTTTAAACGTACACCAGCAGTATGATCCAGCAATTTCACGTCTAAATATACCATACAAGCCTATACCATACAAGTAGGTGTATAAGAATGGTCACAGTTGCTTCAATTTTAAGGACAACACTGAAAACAGAACAAATGCCCACGAGCAGATGGATGCAGCAACAATTCGGGTGCCATCCACACCATGGCCTGTGATAGCTCCACCACTGACAAGGAGCACACAGGAAAGCCAGTATGGTTTGCTGCTTGAAGGCCTTCTGGAAACATTTATACTGAATGGTTGCAGCTCCATCTCCTCTGGAAAAGGCAACCTCTCCACAAGAGACACAAAGCACATGCTCAGCTTCAGATGGAGGGCAGAGGTGATGGCAGTGCACACAACAGAAGTTTCCAAGTGATGTGCAAATGTGCTCTGCATCACCAGTGGGGTGATGATGTCCAGGGCCTCACAAAGACTGCACCTTGCAGTCACAACTTGTTGTCCCTTCACACTAGGTCACAGCACTGAACACTACACTTTGTGATTGAGTTCAGTCAGTATCTGACCGTGAATAGTTATCCATGTGCACCTGCAAGTTAAAATCTGCTATGGATCCTCCACTCCTGGCCATCCAGGGTTGACACTTTGAGACTATTTTATCCTCTAAGGAAAATTATGATGGGCATTTGTAGAACATCTCCACAGTCACTATTGCAATTGAATGAAGCTGAAGCCAACACAGGAAAGAAAATCCTCCTAAAATCCAACAGATCTCTAAGTGACTACCCTGAGCACAGCTTCTTGACAGAGAATGAATCCTTTGGGAGGAAAATTACACTTCCTACTGTGCCTGCAGCATTTGAAGCATTTACATATTTGTTGCAATAAAATTTCAAGGATGTCAAACTCAAACATCATAGACAAATTGTTTTTCATTGCTGTTTTTAAGAAACGAGTATTTCTTCCATGATGAAGAGGATGAGGGGTATCTTTCCAAAATACTTAAAAGCTTTATACCACAATATATACACATCCATGTTTATAGTAGCATAATACATAATAGCTCAATCTTGGAAACAACCCAAATGCCCATCAAAGGATGAACGCTCAAAGAAGTTGTGATTTTGTAGGGCCAGGGATTTAGCAAGCACAGGGCCCTGAGTTTGATCCCTGGTACCACCAAAAAAAAAAAAGAAAAAACAAACAGTTGTGATTTTGGTGTACTAGTCAGCCTTCAAAAGGATAAACTTGGGTCAGAGATTTAGCTCAGTGGCACCGCACCTGCCTCGTAAGCGCTGGGTCCTGAGTTCTATCACCAGGAAGGGGGGGGGAACCTTTCTATGTAAATAGATGCACCTTGAGACCCATAGTCTTAAGCGAAATAAATGAGACACATATGTTTAAATATCACATTGTATATCTGGTGTGAGAAACCAAAAGTGGAAATAAGGTCCAAAGTGTATAATACACTGGGAAATCCGAAGAAAATGTTCAAACGGGAAGGGGGAAAATGGAGGTGAGAAAGGAAAGGAAGGGTCAAGGGAAAAAGAGAATGGAAGGAAAAAATGGAAACAAGGCTTTTGTAAATAAAGAAGGGAGGAATGGATGAAGGGAAGAGAGGGGATTGGGGAAAAAGGAATCCAGACAGATCATGGACACGTACACAGTCCCTATGATGAATGTGACCATTGTGTATATCTAAAATGTACCATGAAAATTAATTTTTAAAAGACTCCATGACTATAAAATAATTCGGTAAAAATACATACCTGAAACAAAATGGAAGATTTTTATGTCAAAGTAAAAAACAAAAACAAAAACGGAAGGAGCCACAGGGTCTTCTTTTCAGAAGGGAGGCTCAGCTTCCTGACCCCAGCACGTGACTTCACTTCCTTGGCAACAGGCCCAAACAGAACTCGGAACCCCAGCATCACGGGCACCACAGTCTCGCGATGGCTGCCTGACAGTCACTTGGCTGGAGAGAGTCAGCAGTGAGCATGCTGTGCTGCTTCCCCAGGCCTCGAGGTAGCAACCTCAGGACCCCGCACAGGGAAAGCACTTGGGAACAAATGAGAGGACGGATGACTCGGTCCCCACGCTTCAGGCCAATTGCCAGGGGCCCCGCAGGCCTCATGGGCAGCCAGGGCAAGTCTCACCAGAGCCAGAGACCTCGGGCCATGAGATGAGAGGGAGCCCAGGGCAGGTCTCCCCGGGTGTAAACACAGACACTTGGAGGCACCGAGTCTAGGACACGTCCACTTAGGACCAGAAACCACTGTGAGTCCCCTGGAACATCACCCACTCTAGGTCCATTCTTGAGAGTAAAAGGTATATTTCAGGTCCCCATGTTTCATTACGACACTATAGATTAAGCACAAACAATATAAAATTATGTCAGCTCACTATTTTTACATGAAACCTTATAGATACATGATCTAGATATGTATAAATTATTTACTTAAAGCCACACAACATATGTACATTTGCATATCTCCACCTGGGATTTGTATTTCCTGGAAAATTTGTGAAGAAATATTGACACCAAACTTAATGTATTATTTCCACAGGTCTCCATTACATGACAAATTTTCAAAGAATTTTCAAAATAGGCTTACATACATAAAAGTTTCTCCCTAGTGGGATTTCTTTCATGTATTTAAAAATGTGTATGGCATCGTTCCCAATTACTTATTACATAGGTCTCTACCTTGTGAGTTCTTTCACATACTTGACAATTATCTGTACTGAGGATTTACACGTTGCTTACATTCATAGGATTAATACCCAGTGTGGATCCTTTCATGTATTTTACATTCACTGAGCCTGCTGAAAGCTTTCCCGCATTGCTTACATACATAGGGTTTCTCCCCAGTGTGACGTCTTTCATGTATTTGACAATAACTGTTTCTGCAGAAAGCTTTCCCACATAGTTTACATACATATGGTTTCTCCCCACTGTGAATTCTTTCATGGCCTTTTCAAGTACTATGATTTCTGAAGGCTTTCCCACATTCCTTACATACATAGGGTTTCTCCCCAGTGTGAATTCTTTCATGTATTTGACAAGCTCTACATGTGCTGAAAGCTTTCCCACATTCCTTACATACATAAGGTTTCTCCCCAGTGTGAACCCTCTCATGTATTTTACAATAAGTGTGTGTGCTGAAGGCTTTCCCACATTGCTTACATACATAGGGTTTCTCGCCAGTGTGAATTCTTTCATGTGTTCGACATGCAAGGCTCCTGCTGAAAGCTTTCCCACAGTGCTTACATACATATGGTTTCTCCCCAGTATGAATTATTTGATGGCTTTGACAAGAAGAATGTGCACTGAAAGCTTTCCCACATTGCTTACATTCATAGGGTTTCTCCCCAGTGTGAATACTTTCATGTCTTTGACAAGCACCGTGTGTCACGAAACATTTCTCACATTGCCTACATACATAGGGTTTCTCCCCAGCATGAATTTTTTCATGTCTTTGATGAGCACCATGTGTGCTGAAAGCTTTCCCACATTCCTTACATACATGGGGTTTCTCCTCAGTGTGAGCTCTTTCATGTATTTTGCAGTAACTGTGAGTGCTGAAAGCTTTCCCACATTGCTTACATACATAGCATTTCTCCCCACTGTGATTTCTTTCATGGATCTGAACATTATGCTGTGTACTGCAGGCTTTCAAATTTTTCTTACATGCAAAGCCCTTCTCTCTAAGGTGAGTTCTTTCAGTAAGATCAGAGTAGGATTCCCCACATTGATCACATTCACAGGGATTCTCTCCATCCTTTGACCTTGCATGCTTCTGAAAGGACTGGAAATCACTGGAATTTCTTCCATGTTGATTACATTTATGCACCTTCTCTTCAGATCCCAATTATTTATATGGCTTCAGTGCAGTGTGGGCAATGATAGGCACAGTCAGTGAGAAATGACCACTCAGAGCCTTCCTAAGAGCAAGGCTTTCCGCTGCTTTCACATCCACATTAGCATCTGGAGTCGAAAGAAATATTTCTTCATGTTGATTCCAAGCATTATATTGATAGCATTTCACTACCTCTTTCTTTCTGTAAAGAAATCACGATAAAATGGGGCTCCGTATTATTGATTTACCAGAACAAGTTCTGTTTTGATGCCTGTAACGATGAATTAACTGAATGCCTTAGAGGAAACCTTCAAATCAGTCATTCCCAAAAGGGCGGTATCCATTTGGGCATTTCTAAGTTGGTATAGTTTGCAATACAGAGTATTTAGCTGACATAATGTGTATCACACACTGATCGCTGTGATACCTTTTCCCCGTCACTCTCCACCTTCTCTCCTTATCCTGTTTGTCTTTCCCATCTTTCCCATCTCCAAAAAGTCAGCTTTCCCTTTTTCCCATCACCTCTTCTTTATTTTAATGCTTAGTTTATATTTTGGTTTTTCATATAAGGGAAACCGTGTGACATTTCATATTTTATGAAATGAGCTATTTCACTTAACATTACGTGACAAAGACCCACTTAATTCTTTTGGCAAAGGACATAATATTATTCATCTTTGTGACTGATCATATACCACATTTTCCTTCTCAGTGCTGGGAATTAAACACAGGTCTTAGCACAAAACCTCCAGTCTTTTTATTTCTTATTTTGAGAAATTCTCACTGATGAAGTAGCTCAGTCTGAGCTTCCACTTGCCATCCTGCAGAATCAGCTTCCCAGAGTGCTGGGTTTACAAGAAGCCACATCACACTGAGCCTATCAACAATTTTCTTTTGTCTGTGCAGCCAGTGATGGTCATGTTAGCTCATTCCAGGGCTTAGCTGTTATAAATTGACCTGCTTTGAATATGGGTGTGCATGTCTGTATAACATTAACCCTTTTGAGAATATACCCATTAGGAATATGCTTGATTAAACAGAACATCTACTTTTAGATTTTGAGACATCTGTGTACTGATTGCCATCGTGGCTGTACTTAACATTCCACCAGCAATGTTGGAGGGTGTCTTTTAAGAATTTTAAATCATGAATGGACTCAGTTCTCTGAGGAATGGCTTGAAAACACCTATTACAACACCAGCATTGATTTCTACTTTGAATACTGCTTCCAGGTTGGCATAAAACACCTATTACAACACCAGCATTGATTTCTA